CACATCCTATTGAATAATAACCTTAGTTTGCAAATCGCCTACATGGATAGCACCAACTTCCTACGCCTAAACTGCAAGGTCTCTGTAGATAGGTACAGTGTAATTAGTAAACTTATAGGTTATTGAGCAGGTAATTCAAGTACCAAGTTTGCATTTTCGATTAAATTAATCTTATATGGTATGATTAATAATCACTACAGCACCATACTCGGGTTTGTCTACCACCTTCGCATTGTCTTTAAAGTCTTGATTACCTTGCAGAGAAAATATTGTGAATGCATTTGGAGCAGGTGCGTCTACATTTAGCAATTTGGTGTCTTCAATGTTTATTACTCTTTTGCCTATCTTAGGTCCAATTTGTTCCAATGTATCTTTAACAAAAACTGCAGTAGATTACGAAATGATTTAACAAGATGTATGTGCTGCCATATTTCCAAATTATTACCGAGCCAGTGTAACAGCTTCAGTTAATGTGCCAATCAATTACCAAATTATTAATGTGTACGATATATCAAATAAAAGCGTTGAAACCGAGCCAAGTACTCGTTATCAATTTATTGAGCTACCGCCTATAGATACTGCCGCACGTGCGTTTGTTTATGATCCATATTCCGCTGCCGCATTCCGCGAGACGGGTGAATCATGTCTGTTGACAAGCAATAAGTATGTATGACATTATTGTTGGTTTCACCTTTACTTATCGATTTGAGTGTTAAATGAATTTGAATTATTGTTTGTAAAATTGGTGTCGGTTTTTTAGGAATGTATGATTGGTTCAAATTAGGCCTTTGATGTTTTACGATGTGGGTGGTCGTTTTTTGCTGCCTTCTTTCTTATTTTAATAACGGTTACATTTTAGAAAGGAATTTCGTTGTATAAATGTAACGTTTAACAGTAACTAGGCGTTTTTACATTGTCTTTTATCCAGTGTAATAAGTGTTTCAATATGATTAGCCTTAACAATGCTAGCAAGTAAAAGTTCATTAATGAACATCTGCTTTGCACCTTTCTGACATTTGATCGGTTTTAACGCAACGTTCAACGGAACCTATAATATGACACCTTTGTCTATACTTCCATGAGGGTGCTTATAGTCACATTAATATTCATCATCGTCATCATCATCATCATCATAGCTTATAAGGTTAAGTGTAAATTACTTCTAGAGAAAGGTTTTTATAAAGAACAGTTCGTAACGAAAAAATGAAATGGGGGCAAAAATATTATGTTACGTTTTGCACCTCTATTTTACTGTATTTTTAAAGAATAAAGATACTTAAATATTATTAAGTCTACCAACGACATATTAACATTTTTGTCAGTATTGACTGAAAAAAATGCATAAAGAAATTTACAAAACTCCTTTTCACGAGTAAAGTGGTTTGCTTATTTCAGTTCCATCCAAATGAAGCAAATTTAAAAGGAAAGTGATACATATGCATTAATTACTTATTGACAGAGTGATATATTGCGATTGTAAATTCATTAAACGTCTGTGTTTACTTTCATTAAGTATTCAGAGTATCGAAAATACTCCAAAAAAGTCCCTCTTACCACAAATATTCAGAAGTTAAAAATAATTACGTAAGTGTTAAGGAAAACAGAACCTCATTCGTTTAGACGTTGGTTAATACATGCTATGGTAACTAAATACTAAAAAGTATACATTACTCATCTCAACTGCATGAAAAAATGTTACAAGAACAATTTTAAATGACTAATGCTCTGAGAATGAACTGAATTGATGATGTTTCGTAATTAAGAACATAGTTATTTATGTTCCTATTATAATAATTATGTTCTCTTTGCTGCTCTATATTCTGCAATTTCAAATTGTAGGACAAAAATTCTAAGTATTCGAACTCTTTGGTAATTTGAAATTAAACTTAAATAATCGGGAATCATTCAAGTGGCATTCAAAATTCATGTCATAATATGTTATAGTAGTAGAATTGACAAGAATCATTGTCTTGCCACGGATGAACATGATTGTGTTTACTTAATTTTATTAAGAATTGAAGGCTTATCGTAATCGGTGAAAGAGATTGACAGAAATATGATAATTTAATTATCTGTGGAAGGGACATTCTGCCAAAATGTGATCATTTATCTAACTATACTTTTTTATGGTTCTTTGATTGTGCCAATTTAGGGAACTATAGGTCCGATTAAAAATAATTGTATTGGATAGAATAGTTCACCATCTTACTACGATCAATAAGCGCCGATGAGCGAGTTAAACCGCGTGGAAATAGCTAATAATTAAATTATAATACATGAAAGAAAGAAAAAGCATTTATTCGACAGTAGGCACGCACACAAATACAAAAATTAGAAAGAAAAGAAAACATATATACAGATACTAAAACATACATATAAATAGGACATACATACCTACATAACTAAAATTCAATTTTTATTAGTGTATGACTCTCGTTATTTACAATAGCTAACTACACAATGGCATTGTCTAATAGTAGATTGTTTTGTTTATAATAATCGTTGGAAAAATAACAAACTGTTTTGGTTTGTTTGTCTTTTATTTTGTAAACTTTACTAGTACGGAAAAATAGTTACACAATATTTACAAATGAGTAGACGATTAGATATTTACTGTCACTGACACAAACAAACCTTTTGTTTTCTTTCGGGCTTGTTTAAATATTTGACAGTAGAATAAAATTGAATTGACATTTGCCAGTTTTTAGTATGGAAGTTCAAAGTTATTCTTTTTAAAAATTTGAATATCGTTGGAAAATCGGCTCTAAAACATAAAATAGGTGGATGTGTTAAATTAGTACCGGGTAAAAAAGGTACCAGCTACAAGAGATAACACAATTCTTAGTGATGTAACCATTCAATCTAACTTCATGTTAACTCACGATAAACATACCGTAATAACTGTTACAGAACTCACAGAGTAACAACCTCATAATAATAATAGTTGAATAACGTTTGCATGCTTACAAAGAAAAACAAAAAAAAAACTGGCAAGTATTAGAAAACTTCTCGTTCTATTCAATCATTCATGACCGACACAATATGAAGAACAGGTGCACATCAACCTACTCGAAAATTGTAAAACTTTCAACTTTATCGTAATTCAACAAAGTCGAAAATTGCATGAATAATTTTGACAGTTTGAGGTAGCTTGATGTGCTGGTGTCTATACAAGAAATTGATACTGCCATGTTTACACTGCACAAGATGGAAGCGATGGACGATAAAATCGGTATTGCTTACTATTTTTAATTGCTTTTTTGTTTACACTACGCACTCTTATGAAAGCTTTCCCAGTTCCAAGTCTTGCGTAAAGTGACCTGGCCCTTTTCTAAAAACAAGATTGGAACAACATCTGATATCAAATTCTTAAAAAGTTCCGGCATTTTAAATTAATAACGACTTATCAGAACGTCTTAAAAGTCAAGCATCGTAAATAGAGTTCTCGATTTCCATTACATAAATTAAACAGGCAGCTATATATTTAAAAGGAGTCGCATGAAAGTAGATCTGAATTGCAGGCTATCACTGTAATTTAGTGCTCAGACTTTATAGATGGTCATGCGATAACGCTACTCTCTGATCAATTAGGTTGAAGCGGAGGCGAATCCGAGGTGGCTAGTCGAGTAGTCGAGTCACCGGACTTATGCAATGGTTATATAACCCGTACGGAGATGGCGATGGACGACCGTCGCAAATTACCAGTGTCCGCACCTTACTGGGTCAAATGTACCCGACGATTGACGTGACATTTATTTCCAACGTAAACTCATGTCCTTTTATGAATGTAAGCCTTTTTACAGTAAACTCTTGATACGCACCAGGTGTCAGATAAATTACAGATGTCGTGTAAATGTTGGTGTTGATTTTTTACGTTTTGATAATATTAATTTAAAGTGCTTAAGTTGGCACTCTCTTGATTAAAGAAATTCGATTTCAAAAATAGATTATGAAGTTTGTGTAAACCTAAAATAAAATATATAATTTCAATATAGCATGACGTTGAAGAGTATAATAAAACAGTTAAACACCACACCTAAACGTCTACTGCAAAACTATACACCAGTGTATTGCATTTATCATAGAATGGCAGTGTTAAAAGTACCATAATATGAGCGTTCAAGTGGGTCAAGGTGGTAAAACTAATGGAGAGTTTCCACTTTTAATGTGAATAAATGAAGTACATTGAGTACAATGGACAACGGGACGCGCCTAGCCACTGCATATAATGACGTACAAGGCCAATTGTTACTATGCAGACAAGCGTACATAATAAAAGAATTGTCTCTATAGAAAAATAGAAGTAAAGATATAAAAAGTACAAAGCATAAATGTGGTGATATTTTTAATGATATCGAAATATTAATTCAGTTCTATTCAGTAGCTGTCAGTGATTCATCGAATGCTAAACTAGGTGTGGGTTAGCAAAATTGTACACAGTTTGGGGAAACGGAGGCCAAAAAACAATTCAGCAGCGTTTTTGTCGTTAGTATGCAACAATGCGTAATAGCTATGTCCGGCAGTTATTACCAAATAATGTCCTTCATTCGAATTTCTACTTTATTGTTACGATGATGGATTTTAAAATGTCGTTTTAACTACAACTAAATAATTATTTTCTTTAAAGCGAAACGTTTGCTCATTTATATTTCATAACAAATTGTGCTCTAGTGTATCTACTTCAGCATATCAGTTTAGTGAAGAACATTGCGGAACTCAAATGCCCATTAACCTAAATTGAACTCTATTGTTCGATGCCCTCTTCATTATATCTTAGCTGGCATGTCACTTAGCAACCAGCTTGTTGACAAAGCCTCAATGGTTCGATTATTGATTGCCATGCAATGGTTGCCCTAAATTCAGTACGCATACACGCAACTCTGTCGGTGGTGTCTCAACTAACGCTTTATTGTACACCCCTAATGTAGACAATTCTTTCCTTTGCAGAAAAAAATGTAGATAGATGAAACGTAGGTTGCATCTACATTTATTAAAGTACGATGTCCATTGACCAGGCGTCACCACTGGTGCCGATCAAACCTCAAGTCGTGCTGCAGAACGGTGCTTTTATAAAAAACAGTCATAACCGCAGTAGTTTCTGTGGGGTGGCACCAGCGTCGAACGGTAATGGAACGTTCAAAACTTTCGCCGTCAATCGCAAGAGTTGGAGTGGAAACGTGACTCTTCCGCTCCAGCAGTTCACGCCCGACGTGGAACAAGCTCCGCAGTTGGCAACTTTTCGCTCAGGAACTGGAACATTCCCGAGAAACAGAGAGCGGAACAATAATACAACGAATGGAATATTAACACCTAACGGGAACTCTGTGCAGACGTTTAAAGGAAATGAAGTGAGGAGGTGCGGAAGCTCGAACGGCCGACGTTACGCTGAGATCGGAAACTGGAATAAAAGGTGAGTTGTTTTGTTGGGACGTGCGTTACGTCAAACATGACGGTGGTAAAGATTTGTCTTTTATTCTTCTATACAATGTCTTACAATAGCTGATTAGTGAAATTTAAAGTTAATTCCAAGATTCATTTTTTTATAAACTCAAAATGACCATCAGAATCTATTATCCTAATTGATTAAATAAAATACATGCTCATCCTGCATGTAGCATGCACAAAAACAATCTGAAAATACAGGTAAACTTTCGGTCGAATATTAACAAACATAAAAAGTACGTTCGCAGCATGATTACTAGCAGATCAAACGCGATCCCCCAGGTAAATAAAAACATTCAACCGTATCGTTTCACTAACTTTTACTAGAGCTTTATTTTCTCCTTTTTCATCTCGAGTAATTCTGTAACAAGTTTTCCAATTTCATTCTCTCGTCGCTTTCATTTCCTCCCGTACGTAGCTTCTCGTTCCCTTAATATTACTTTTATTAGCTCAAAACGTTTAACAAACATTGGTTTGAGAATCTAATAAAGATTAGGTTACGTTTGCACAAAGGGATGATCGAAACTTGATTCATATTTCTTACTTTGTTTAAACATTTTTGTTTGAGTTTGGTTTTGTGTGTATTTTAATATTTTTAATATTTTGGAAGTCTATGTCTTCAATTTGATTAATGTCATGGTGTTCATATACCAAATCTCTTTTAAAAATCGTGTGATAACTACGTATAACAAAACTAACGCTAAAATTAACATCGTGCATTCCGATATATCTTCAACATAAACGTTTATACGTATTATACGGATTTATCCAACTGTTTACCGTATTTATCTAATCGGGATCTTCATTATCTTTTATTTCTTGCTAGTAGAAAGTTCATCCATAATTCTCGCTCACTCAATTTGGGGCGGCCTAAGTCACTTGATAAGGCGTCCAATGATCTGGTCAGGACTTCCTCCTTTTATTGGGGGTTAAGTTTATCGTGCCATGATTCCTCGTCACCGCCGATACTATCAACTGCGCTATTTAGCGATTCTCCCTTCAACGAGTATTTATGACCAGTATTTACTGTGGCCCTGTCAATTAATCCAAGCATTTGCTTGGAAAAATATCGGCTGCCCTTTCTATTTAGTGTTCGTTGCATGTTTTCAGAATAAGCACTTTTATTTTCTGTTTTATCTGTGTTTTTACTTAGTATAGTGTTGCTGGTAAGTCTAATATACTTCGATTAAATTATTCAAGAAATTCCTTAGCTTTCTTCTGCGTGGAATTAAGTTGTGATACATGTACAAACATACCTATTACGAGAATATTTATAACGTAACATAAAGATAAAATTTTTCCTTTCCTCTAAAGTATTATGTTGTATTTCGTTTATAGCTTGTAGGAATCTTTTGTAATTTATTCTTTGGTCGTAATTTGCATGAACATTCAAGGTTGCGTGGTACGTTTCTCATTATTCACTTGATTTCTATGCTAAACGTGGAACAAAATAATTTCAAGTGACATGGATGTTTGAGCCGTGCTCGTACATTAATTCTTATTCCATTTGCGTATTATATTATTTAAATCATAATAATTACACATATGTAGCTAAGAGAGTAAGCAGTTTCTTCTTTAGAAGCAGTTTTAAAGAATTAATATGATACAACTGTGAAATACAAAAGGTCCTTTCGAGCTTCTTAGTGTGCTAATGTACGATTGGCAGACAGAAAACTGTTCTAGCAACCGTCGTAATAATAACGTCTTTTGTCTGAGTGCTTGGTAATCCGCTTATTATTTTATTACATAAGAGGAAAACAATATTACTCTGTACGGTAGCGGGAGGTTTAAGTACTTTCCCTTTCTATATTACCTTACATCTCCATCATCAACCTACTGCATGCTTCGTTAGATTTTCAATAACATGGTTTACTTACAACCTTCATCGAAACAGTAGCTCTTTCTTCACTCATACCCTCTCAAAACCATAGAGCTATAATTTCATCGTTACTTTTTATTTGTGTTTATACTCAACTAATGTTGTTACTCACGCCTCAAGCTTTAAGGAAATCAAAACGACTCCGTAGAGCATTTAAGTAGCTCGTTTCGATAAAAAACAGTCTGTTGGGCCTGCAATCACTCGAAGGGTCCCTTGAAGACGGTAATTTAGGCCAATTACGTCTACCACGACTTTCACTAGTGGTTCGGTGTTTGTTGCCTGTACTAAATCTCCCTTAACAAATTGAAAAAAAACTAAGTCGGGCTGTTGGATACCGTTTCTCTGCCTTCCTCGACCACATGTACTGTCACGGTTAATGACTGCGTTTGTGAACTTTTCCAATTACGGTGCGGTGTTCTAGATCCAGTTTTGTATTATAATGACGGGTAATTGCGACATTACAGGTTAATTTTTATCGTTCCTAACGTTTGTAAGTTTGTACCTGTACCTATGCTGGAAATGTTGTTGGCATTTTGTATCGTGAGTTTTATAGAATTTTAGGGAACGCAATAATTTATTTTTGCATTCTTTTCATAATTCTTAGTCTAAAATATAATTCAATTATCAACTAAATTGTTGCTATCTTTGGTCAAACATAAAATCAACAATGACTAAACTTCCAGCTACTCCTTTATTATAACAGATGTGCAATCAAGCAACTGCTACCTGCCCTTAAAAACCCACCACGAAAAAACACAACCATGATTCATAATACCAATCTCAACTCACCAGCTTCTTCAAACATTATCACAAAAACTAGCCAATTTAGTAACATTGATGGAAGAACAATTTACCACGATTGGCGCATATTGATTACCACTTCAAATAGATGGTTGCACGCGTCATTTCGCAACTGATGCCATGTGACTGATGGTCGTCTGAGTTGCGCTTCACAACTGACAGCTGTAATGATGGAGCGACGATCATCAGTGAAAGCGATGGTCGCCGTGCATAGTTATGTCATTGATATATATAGTATTCAGTATGCTAATAATATCCTTTGACCTTTTGTGGTACGGTGTTGCCTTTCCTGGTTCATTTATAAGTCGGAATGTAATAGATGGTTTGAACTAGTGAATTTGGTCGTAGAGTTAATTAATTAATGTGAAATTCGAAACCGGACCCTTAATTACCAACCGAAACAACCGATTTCTATTAATTAGTCGCATTGCAGACTTAATCCATGAGCTCGTTTCTGATTGATAGCAAAAAGTCTTTAATTTTTAAATCACGAAAAACTCTCGTTTTTTACGCAGTGGTCATCCATCCGATGCAAGTCCACGGTCAAATTTGATTAGGAGCATTGTAACTAAGGTGATTGGGCTTCAATGAACAGTGAAAGCGAAATAATTAGATATTGTGCTGGAATTACTGATGTCACTGAGGTTTTAGCTAATCATTTAGTATGGTGATTATGCCCATGTCATCTTGTTAAAGGGGCACGATTTAGAATAATATAAGTCTGACTGCCGACAGAAAAATGTTGATCTTCAACTATCGACGCGCAGTGCATTTGATACTGTATTGGTTTAAGTAAACATTAAATGGAAAATAAGTAATTGTAATGCCATAAATACTACCCAATGACATCAATAAACATCTTACCGAAAAATAATATTAGGACCTTATTTTAATCAAAGGTTTAGGTTTTAAATTGTACATAGCAATTTAATAAGAGTGGAAACTTACATTGTATACGCGTGATGCGCAATGCCTTTTAACCTCAGGATACCAGTAAAATAATAATAAAACCACCAACCATGTTTCCTTCTACGCTATAAAATAATGATGCAACTGAAAATACTCCACAACCTGTATATAATGTGTATCTAAAGTTATTGCCTGTGTTGATGCCATAAAATTCAGTCGCTCGTGCGCGACGGTTCACATCATCAACTCGGTTACATCACTGTTACAGTCGAAATATATCTATGTGCCGTGGCGCTGCCGCAGGCCGTGGCTGGCAGAAGCCGATTGGTCAGAGTGGTCTTCGGCCCAATCGTCTGCAAGCATTTGTCTGCACATGCGATACGACCCGACTACGAGTGTATTGTGACGATATGTAAATGTGTTTCGGTCTTTACAGAGGAACGCTCATTCACTTTATTGATTCCATAAAACAATGATTACGTAAAGACATTTTGTATTAAAACTTTTTGCAACTTGACTTTCAATAATTAATTTCGTTGACAACGAAGTTAATTGGGTTTTTGGGTCGTAATCGATAAAGATCTTGAGATTAATTATTATTATTGTAGAAGAAAATACTATTGACATATTGGATTTACAAAATACAGTTACACCACCCAGTGAGTTGAATAAGCATGTACAATGAATTGGCAATTTAAAATTAATAAATTGAATCTGATACTGGTTACTTTATAGGTACGCATACATTGATGTTCTTTGATATCTCATGAAAAGTTTTATTAATGCAAAGATTAAAAATAAAGCAACGTCATCTGGGAATCAATACGTAACTTCCGCAGTTAATAGTGAAACGTGTAACTACAAAAATATTAATGTAATCAACTCTAAATGAAAGTGAAAATCGTCACGTATCCAATAAAATATTTTTGCGCAGCGAAAGCAGACCCAAAATACATGAGATGTCGAACATTTTCCTCAATAACAAAAGACTTAAATACTTTACAGAAAGCCTACAATGGGAGCGAATATTATTTTCCTAGACGACGTATTCTTGAGGACAAAAGAAGGGAAAAATAATTTTCTTCCGTGAGACAGGTCATCTCACACTATTGTGAAAGGATTTGAAAAGCCCTTTTCATAGCTCCCAGCACTATTAGGCGTTTTGTAGGAGCAAGATGGCGCGTTATTGGTTTTTAAAAAGCTTTTATTTGAGACATTCTGGGTTGAGTAATTGGCTCCAAGGCTTACTCTCAAATATTGGACTTAACTGCTTATGATGACTTAATAATTAATTATAAGGCAATTTATTTTTTTAAAGGTGTAAAGATTTTGTATTTTATTTATTTTTAAATATCAATATAAATTTCACTATCGTTTAATTTATTTTTAGTTGTAGTATTTACAATATTACAGAATAAAAATTTCAAAATTCAATTGAAAATAAAATACAGTGTATAAGAAAAAGATAAAAGAGTCTCCTCAAATAAGAACGAGAGCGTAAAAGAAACAAATATTAGCCAACCCCGAATTTCTTTATTTGCCTCAATTTACTAACATATTCGCGAGCCCAAACTCTTTAAAGACAAAGAAACAAAACATCTAAAATCAACACCTGTCAGCATGTTTGGTAGAAAATGATGTTGCAAATATTCCAATTCGGGCCTACGGTCCCTTATATTGAATATTCGAGTATCTAAGACTCATTGGGTATTCAGGACGCGTGGTGAGGCATAAATATCCCGTGTCGTTCTCATTACAATAACTTGGTGCGTCCCCTGGTTGCAACGGATGCCGCATCTCTTGGGATGTCACTCACATAATGGAATTCTAGACCGATTTCCCTGGTAATTATTTAATGCGATGGCCTCGGTCGGTCCTGTGGTGTGACAGGAAAGATAATTATTTTGTTATTATTTAATGTAACGCGATGATATTGTTCGTGAGATTTGATTTATGTTTATGTTATTGTAGTGTTTCATCCTGTTTGTGTTTATTATGATGTTTTATAAACACTGAAGATGACAAAGTTTCTGCTGACTAGCATAAAAATGTATACAATTGTACTTCGTATCTCTTATTACATATTTCGCACCAAGCGGTTTCTCAAATGTAAACTCAACATTATGTCAATTCCATACATGTAATGTTGGAGTTCAAATTCGATGTATGTGTTGGAAAGTCGATGCAGCTGAAAGCCACGGTCTGGCGAACACGACTGTACAGACCATCCCGTTTGGACGTGTGGCCGATACCAAGCAACCCTACCGCACTGCACCGTAGGTACCGGCGCGCTACGGCCCAGTGAAACTACCCGTGCGTACATCGCCCGTTTGTTATGCTAATTGAAGCTGCTGATTTGCACAATAAAACAACTCACACGGACCACTCCACGGCTTTAACGAGCCTCAACGCCTCTATGATACATATTCCCGTCACATTGCGTTCATTTCTCGTTTTGTTTTAAATTTTTTTCCATTTTGATTAAAAAACGCAATCTGCATTGGTTATTCAACAGTTTGTTCTCGTTACAAATGTGATAATGAGCTGTAATAATGGTTCAGTAGTATTGGACGTTAATTGGGCCGACGCGATAGACAGTACTTCATAAAAACGAATGTAGATTTGTTTGTACGACTACTCACGTGATTCAGCAAAATTGTTTGCGTCAATTATGTGTTCGTGATACTTTCTACTTACGAGCATTGTTAGAACATTTTGAATCGTTATTGAGAATCTATCGTGAATATTGGAGTACTAGGAATGGTAATAGCAGGTGAATTGTTGGTAATTTTACATTCCCAAGATAGAGATTGTGTTCATCAATACTTCAAATTAAAAAATGCCTTCATCCAATTGATGCTTGTGTTATACGTAATGCATCTAGTTAAAATTCACTGTCACTCGAATTCCAGCCTTGGCCTATTAAAAGGCAGTGTACCAATTGAGTTAAGGACAGTTGTATGACATTAGCGAAATCATGCGGTGATGTGTGCATTGGTCGATTGGCGCCGGCATTAATTGTTCCAAAGTGGCCATTTAACACTACTTATGAATGAATGAATTTAATGTTACATGCCGTTCTATTTTATAAGCCCCATTAACATTCTCAGCTTCGTTACTTCTTGTGTAGTTTCATAGTTATTAGTTTTGTTCGACTGTTTAAAGTTCGCAGAATATTTCAAAGTATTGTAGTTCGTTGGAAAGCTCTAAATAATAAAATATATGTATAGTGCATAGTTTTGCATTTATTCGTGTTTAGTTTTTAATGTATCATCACGTTTCATTATCAGCCAGAAAGCTTAGACTGCAAAACAATGACCCTCCACCGATGTTGAGAAATTATTTACCTTAGAACTTGATCATTTATTACAATTAAATGAAATATTCTATACTACTTATATTTTCTTTATTCGATCAAGATCAAGAATAGAAATTCCATTCAGATTCATGAGTCATATCCACTTGTATGCATTCATACGGATTCCTTGACTCAGTCTGAATGGATGTGACGCATCATAACAAATGTTTTTTTCATAGTTGACCGACTTTACGCTGTATTTATCTTGTGAGAGGAATATACTCATTACAATCTGTAAGTATCTTATACTCACTGTATATGTCATGTTTTTTATCTTTTGCCTAAAAATGTATATTAAGCAGATCATAATTATGATAAATTAAAACTCTTTGCAAAATAAGAGGATCAGAAAGATTTACTAAAATATTTGAACGAATAATTGAGATGGTTATAGTTTAGAAATGCATTTATGTGCCAGGAGAAGCTGTGTCATTAGTCATTACTGGATAGCCGCCATGTTTGACTCAATGTATTGCGTAGACCAAATCTTTCTCAATCGTGGCTTCAAGTATAAACATGAAGCTGTTCTAGACGTATCAATACATGTAAATGAAAACAAACTCAGAATCATTCAGTTTTCGATCTAAAAGTAGGATGAGTGAAACAGGTTATTTTGGTATTCGCACAAGTTGTACAACAGGAAATACTAGACATCTCTATTAATGTATGTATATGTCATTTATTACAACGTTCATTTATGTAATCTTGAGATGGGTCAATGAACTGAGGTAGCAGGCAGGACAGCTGAGTAATTTTTAAATCTAGTTGTACTTCATGAAATGATTAGAATCTTTTAATACGTAGATTTAATCTAGTCACGACGAACATACAATTCCCTAGTATTGTCCACCAAGTTTGGGTATATGTAAACTGGAATTAGCTTAATTTAATTAGTAAACTAAGGATGAAACTATACCCTTGTTTAGACCCTCCAGTTCGACTTTTGGGCTTTAGACAAATAAGGACTTGAATAGGGTACAAGAACTTAATACCTAAGGGTAATAGGATAGTCAAGTTTAGTAATAAATCACTCTAAAACATAGTATGAGAACATGAACAACAGAGATACTTTGGAAACACTAATTACTATATTGGACATAATAATGAAACATATATTACAACAAGCTACTTGGCAGATTCACTAAGTTACAATAAACACAATGGAAATGCTACAGAAAAATATGTTGGACATAACAATTAAAATCCTAATCATAAACACGAAGTTGAGACAAGCTTTGATCTTGTCTACAATATCCATTATCGCAGGATTTAGCAGACATGCAGATAGATAGCTCTATTATATCATAACCAACAGGGCAGGTCAATCAAAAGATAAAGGCCTGTGGCGTGAACCGCTGCGGGCATTAATTAAGACCAGATATAAGCGGATTGACGTTGAGCAGATTATGCAACGTTGTCCCGTGAACCTGTAGTTAGGTTATATGTGATGTATGCAGATTTTATTGAATATCTGATTTTGGTCCGCCATGTTTTACGGTTTGGTCGTATTATGGAAATTGATTTCATTGTAAGTGCTGAATGAATGGGGTTTGGATGTTGAGTTTGTAGTTAGGGTCGTTTATAATTTTTGTTACTACCGCCATCATGAAGTATATAATTTCTTACATTCTTGTGATGCGCTTGTATACTTTTAATGCCTCCACTGCACTCATAAAATGCTGCACATTTTAAAGTAGTTACTTGTTGACACAATTCCTCGGAGAAAATGCTCTGGGGCTTTAAGCTTTTAAAGTCACATTTTTCTGTAAGTAAAATGTAGCGCACATTATTCGTTCAGTCTTCATAACATCGCGCCTTTTATCCCCAAAGGGATAGACAGAGGTACAGATTATGGCATTTAATGCCGCTGTACAATGTAACACCTACTTTTCACTATTTATGTTATGACTCCTATGTAATAGGGGTGAGCCCTTTGCCATATACCGGACACAATTCCAGACTCCGTGCTACTGCTGAGATTTTTTTAAACCCAGTAATACTTTGCCCGACCCGGGAATTAAACCCAAGTCCCCTTGCCCAGCAGTCGCACTTGCGACCAACGAGGCAGTCGTTCAGTCTTATAAGCAAACAAATACAGTTACCTTCACCTAATGCAAGTTAGACTATAAATATTCCTATGTCCATCAACCTTATATCAGTTTGTTAAGATTTCAGTTGCATAACACGGAAACTGCTCAGGATTAACTTATATCGTTAACATTTATCAAATCGCCCATTTCCTGGATTAATGTTACCGTCATTTTGCAAGCATTAGTCATTTTTATCTTAAATCTAGTTGGTATACCTTTACCTTTAGTTCCTTTAGGATAAGGTGACCTCTTTTGCGTTACTATCAATCGCTTCTATTGAGGTTTTAATTGTTTCGTAAGATAAGTGTTCAGTGTTCTTTATTTAATTCCAAAGTAACATCAGCTGATTTCCTTGAAACTTCATCCATTATCAAGCAATATCTGAATTCCGTATCCTTATTCGTAATAGGATATTAAGAGACAGCTGCAGCATTCAATAAAAAATTGACTATCATTCTAGTTACTCTTACTTTCACTACAAACTGCACTGCAACACAAACTCCTAACAATCGATAAAGCATCTCGCTCATCCTGTCAAGCCAGTACATCAAATTCCGCAGTTATTGAATCACTCCTTGTTTGCATGCACTTCAATTTATCGTCAATTTAGTCAGTGGATTGGCAACGTCGCATACCCTTGTTTATTGGGCTCGCTGCCATTGCAGCGGTAGGAGGTCTTTGAGGAGTGGCTTGAGAGACGCTACGGCGTCCTCACCTACCGCCTGACGCAGGTCCTCACCGGACATGGAAGTTTCGGGAGGTACCTGTGTCTGATGGGGCGGGAGGAAACGCCCGGGTGTCATCACTGCGAGGACCGCCCTGAGGACACGGTGGAACACACCGTAGCGGAATGCCCTGCGTGGGCTGAGCACCGCCGTGCCCTCAGGGAAGTGATCGGCGATGGCGACCTCTCGCGTCCGGGCCTAGTGCAGGCCATGATGCGGAGCGAGGGGGACTGGGATGCCGTCTC